GCCCAGGATTTCTTTTTTTTGTTCATCAACATTAGACTGTATTTTGCATTTATATAATAAAATATAGAAGACAATAAAAATGAGTATTGCTATAAGCAACAACAGAAATAAAACTCATGAGCGATATTCAGCAAAACAAGGCAGATATAAAATGATATACATCGTATGGTTTCTTTTTAAAAAATTCAAAACTGGGCAAAACAAATTTATGGTGAAGGTAGTAGTGATTATGGGAGCAGAAGGCAGGGGTCATGACCAGGAAATAGTATAAGGAAGGCTTCCGAGGTGCTGGGAAAGTTCTGTTTCTTGATCTGAGTAGTGGTTATACTAGTGGGAGTTCAGATAACTCACATAAGTCATAGGTTTATAGTTAAACTTACGACTTATACACTTTTCTCTGTGTTATAACTTATTAAGAAAGCTAAGACAAAAGCCTTATTTAGTTCATTAAGATCAGCAGTTGGCAAAGAATTACTGAATATTATTTTAGACAGAAAGTTCAAGGAAGTGTCTTAGGTGATCAAAGATTCCAAGTCCATTCCACTATCAAATATATATTTTTTTCTTATTAGTCATCCATTTTATACACATCAGTGTATACATGTCAATCCCAATCTCCCAGTTCATCACACCACTCCCGCCCCACACCACTTTCCCCCCTTGGTGTCCATATGTTTTTTCTCTGCTTCTCTGTCTCAATTTATGCTCAGCAAACCAGATCATCTGTACCATTTTCTAGGTTCCACATATATGCGTTAATATACGATATTTGTTTTTCTCTTTCTGACTTCACTCTGTGTGACAGTCTCTAGATCCATCCACGTTTCAACAAATGACCTAATTTCGTTCCTTTTTATGGCTGAGTAATATTTCATTGTATATATGTACCACATCTTCTTTATCCATTCGTCTGTCAGTGGGCATTTAGGTTGCTTCCATGACCTGGCTATTGTAAATAGTGCTGCAATGAACATTGGGGTGCATGTGTCTTTGAATCATGGTTTTCTCTGGCTATATGGCCAGGAGTGGGATTGCGGGGTCATGTGGTAATTCTATTTTTAGTTTTTTGAGGAACCTCCATACTGTTCTCCATAGTGGCTGTATCAATTTACATTCCCACCAACAGTGCAAAAGGGTTCCCTTTTCTCCACACCCTCTCCAGCATTTGTTGTATGTAGATTTTTTGATGATGGCCATAACAAGTGTGAGGTGATACCTCACTGTAGTTTTGATTTGCATTCTCTAATAATTAGTGATATTGAGCATCTTTTCATGTGCTTTTTAGCCGTCTGTATGTCTTTTTTGGAGAAATGTCTATTTAGATCTTCTGCCCATTTGTTGATTGGGTTGTTTGTTTTTTTGATATTAGGCTGCATGAGCGGTTTGTATATTTTGGAGATTAATCCCTTGTCAGTCACTTTGTTTGCAAATATTTTCTCCCATTCTGTGCGTTTTCTTTCAGTTTTGTTGATGATTTCCTGTGCCGTTCAAAAGCTTTTAAGTTTCATTAGGTCCCATTTGTTTTTATTTTCATTACTCTTGGAGGAGGATGAAAAAAGATCTTGCTGCAGTTTATGTCAGTGTTCTGCATATGTTTTCCTCTAAGAGTTTTATAGTATCTGGTCTTACATTTAAGTCTTTAATCCATTTTGAGTTTATTTTTGTGTATGGTGTTAGGGAATGTGCTAATTTCATTCTTTTACATGTAGCTGTCCAGTTTCCCCAGCATCTCTTATTGAAGAGACTGTCTTTTCTCCAGTATATAGTCTTGCCTCCTTTGTCGTAGATTAGGTGACCATGGGTATGTGAGTTTATCTCTGGGCTTTCTATACTGTTCCATTAATCTATATTTCTGTTTCTGTGCCAGTACCATACTGTTTTGATTACTGTAGCTTTGTAGTATAGTCTGAAGTCAGGGAGCCTGATTCCTCCAGCTCCGTTTTCCTTTCTCAAGATTGCCTTGGCTATTCAGGATCTTTTGTGTCTCCATACAAATTGTAACATTTTCTTGTTCTAATTCTGTGAAAAATGCTATTGATAATTTGATAGGGATTGCATCGAATCTGTGGATTACTTTGGGTAGTATAGTCATTTTGACAATATTGATTCTTCCAATCCAAGAACATGGTATATCTTTCCATCTGTTTGTGTCATCTTTGATTTCTTTCATCAATATCTTATAGTTTTCTGAGTACAGGTCTTTTGCCTCCTGAGTACAGGTATTTTATGTGATGGTAGATGGGATTGTTTCCCTAATTTCTCTTTCTGATCTTTAATTGTTAATGTATAGGAATGCAAGAAATATCTGTGTATTAATTTTATATCCTACAACTTTACCAAATTCATTGATGAGCTCTAGTAGTTTTCTGGTAGCATCTTTAGGATTTTCTATGTATAGTATCATGTCATCTGCAAACAGTGATAGTTTTACTTCTTTTCCTATTTGGATTCCTTTTATTTCTTTTTCTTCTCTGATTGCCATGGCTAGGACTTTTAAATCTATGTTGAATAAAAGTGGAGACAGTGAACATCCTTGTCTTGTTCTTGATCTTAGAGGAAATGCTTTCAGTTTTTCACTATTGAGAATGATGTTTGCTGTGGGTTTGTTGTATATGGCCTTTACTATGTTGAGATATGCTTCCTCTGTGTCCACTTTCTGGAGAGTTTGTATCATAGATGGGTGTTGATTTTTGTCAGAAGCTTTTTCTGCATCTATTGAGACGGTCATATGGTTTTTATTCTTCAGTTTGTTAATGTCGTGTATCACATTGATTGATTTATGTATGTTGAAGAATCCTTATATCCCTGGGATAAATCCCACTTGATCATGGTGTATGATTGTTTTAATGTGTTGTTGCATTTAGTTTACTAGTATTTTGTTGAGGATTTTTGCATCTATATTCATCAGTGATATTGGCCTGTAATTTTCTTTTTTTGTGATATCTTTGTCTGGTTTTGGTATCAGGGTGATGGTGGCCTTGTAGAGTGAGCTTGGGGGTTGTTACTTTCTCTGCAAGTTTGAGAAGGATAGGTGTTAACCCTTCTCTAAATGTTTGACAGAATTCGCCTGTGAAGCTATCTGGTCCTGGACTTTTGTTTGTTGAAGTTTTAAAATCACTGTTTTAATTTCAGTACTTGTGATTGATGTGTTCATATTTTCTATTTCTTCCTGGTTCAGTCTTGGAAGCTTGTATCTTTTTGAGAATTTGTCCATTTCTTCTAGGTTGTCCATTTTATTGGCATATAGTTGCTTATAGTTAAACAATGAACTCTTTATTGTATTTGGAATCCCCTTAGTTATATGTTGATTATTATTATTATTTTACAAAGAGACAACAGTTCATTGCAGCACCATTTAAAAAATCTATTTCTTTTCTCATTGCTCTTTTTTTTAATGTTTTAATATTCTTTATTTTTAGAGCAGTTAAAGGTTCATAGCAATACTGAACAGAAGGTTTTGAGATTTCCATTTACCTCCTGCCCCCACACACATAACCTGCCCATCGTCGTCCCCCATGAGAGCAGTAAATTTTTGCAGCTGATGAACCTACATTGATACATCATTATTATCCAAAGTCCCATAGTTTATATTAGGTGTCACTCTTGGTGCTGCACATTCTATGGTTTTGAAAAAATACACAAAGACATGTATCCATCATTATAGTATCATACAGAATATTTTCACTGCCAGAAAAATCTTCTCTGCTTTGCCTATTCTTCCCTCCCTCCGCACAACCCCTGGCAACCCAGTTAATCTTTTTACTATCTCTATAGTTTTGCTTTTTCCAGAATGTCATATAGTTGAAGTCATACAGATTATTATTTTCAGATTAGCTTCTTTCACTTAATAATAGACATTTAAGTTTCCTTCATGCCTTTTTGTCTCACTGATCTTTGATGCCTCATCATTTATTGCATTCATGCATTTATGAGGCCCTGAATCTCAATTGCCTCTTTTGTTTCATCAATCTATTCCCCCTACCAGTTCCATTTAATTAGACTGAGGTACGATAGTATAGTGTTATCTATACAACCACTCTAAAAGGATGTTTTGAAGATTAAAGATACGATATTAGATGAAGAATAAATAGCTTGGCTCATTTAACAAGTAGTCAGTGAATGTTAACTCTTAAGGCAATGATGATTTAGATATCCCCTACCTCCCTGCCCACCACTCCCCCCCAAAAAATATTCCAGTAGGACTGCAGTAAATCTATAAGTTAATTTTGAGGGAAACCAACAATACTCAATGTCCCCATCCAGAAACTTGGTATTTCTGTTTATTCAAGTTTTACTTCTGTTTTTGTAGATTTACTAATGTTTTCTTCTTAAAGGTTCTGTGTGTGTTTTTGGTACAGCTATTTTTAGGTATTTTGCTTTTTGTTAATATGAATGGGATTTTTTTTTCGTTACTTTTTAAATGAATTGTTATTGGTAGTTATGTAGTCTTTTAGCATCTGTTGGGCTTTTTTTTTTCTCATTCTACTTACAGATTATCAGATATTTGAATGTTTTGCTCTTCTTTGTTTCTTTGCTTGTGTTATTATCTCCTTTTTTTCTTTCTGAAGATTATGGTTGCCATTGCCCTTTTTTAAAATTAATTAATTAATTTGGCTGCATTGGGTCTTAGTTGTGGCACACGGGATCTTTGCAGCGTGCAGGATCTTTAGTTGCAGCATGCAGGATCTTCATTATAGTATGTGGGATCTTTAGTTGTGGCATGCAGGATCTTTAGTGTGGCATGCAGGATCTTTTGTTATTGCGTGCGGACTTCTCAGTTGCAGCGCACAGGCTCTAGAGTGCGTGGGCTGAGTAGTTGGGGTACGCAGGCTGAGTTGCCCCACGGCATGTGGGATCTTAGTTCCCTGACCAGGGATGGAACCCACGTCCCCTGCATTGGAAGGTGGAGTCTTAACCACTGGACCACCAGGGAAGTCCCACCATTGCTCTTTCATTGAAATGTTCTTTGGTTCCTTTTTTCCCTGAATTTTGTCATTTAGATAAAAACAGATGACATAGCAAGAATTTACCAGCCTAAGCGTTACGCTTTGTCACCCAAGACAACAATAACCTTGGCACATCTACTTGCTGCCCGTGAAGATCTATCCAAGATCATCAGGACAAGTAGTGGCTCCAGCCGGGAGAAGACAGCATGTGCCATTAATAAGGTTGGTTTTTCTTTCAGTAACAGTGGATAATGAATTTATAATATCCTTGTTTGATGTTTTTACAGATTTAATCCATTTTTCTTTTAATCCTAGTGAACTCCTAGAAAAGAGAGTGGTGGAGGGGCTTCAGTCAATTTAGGCTTAGTAATGTTTTCTGTGTGCATGTTTGTTTGAATTTCTGTATTCATAAATTAAACCACAGTTTTATCTGAATTAGAGGAATTAAGAATTATTTTTATGAATAGCATTAGCAAGAATTATTTGCCTTCTTTCCAATAATGTAATCATTTTTTGTCAGTAAAAATCTGTAGGAGTCATTTCGGGTACTCACATATTCCTTAGATCCTTGGTGTAGAGGGAGGAGTCCATGCTTTGGGTTTACATCCTAGCTCTATCATTTACTTAGAGCAGTCACCTTGGGCAAGTTGCGGAATCTCTTGGAGGTTCCATTTCCTGATTCAGAGTATAGATCCATTGCTCTGACAGTAGTCTTAAATAAGCTCAGTCTGAATTTTTTACTTTACGACAGCAGCATTAACAATAAACTAATTTAGAATGTTTATATTAGCTTGATTAGCATATACTTACTCTTTATTTAGATAGATCACTCTATGACAAACTACTACAAAAGAGCAAGAAATCAGAAGTAAGGGATTTGGGTAATTTTAAAACATCGTTTCTCAGTCAATGCAGTGAGAAAGGTATCCTGTATCAAGGGATGGCTGTATGTAAAGTCAGTTTGCTAATTATTGCTAAGTTAGGCACCAGTGTTTGGGCCTTCCTGCTTCCATTTAAGACCAACCTCCTCTCTTCTTAAAGTGTTCTGTCTTTAAATATGTTACTTAATGTCTTGCATCAGGTTATAAGCTAGTCTTGATGGATCAAGAGTTCTATTTCTTTAAGTGACATTGCCCATCTCTTTTCTGAGTTTGTAGTTTATAGTCTAGTTATTTGAGGGCCATCTTATTATGAGATCTTGGAACAGCGTCCCTGTATATCCACCCACATAGCATGTTTGGTGGAGAGACCAATGAAGATAGCAACCAAGAAAAAAGCTACTGATATTTTTTGGATTTGGTAATTAGGATGTTATTGCTGACTTTTAAAAGAATGTTTGCTTCTTCAAACCTTGTCCCACAGTGAGGATGTTGTCTGAGATTTTGTCTTTCATTTATGACATAAAGTAGTAAACCATGATTTTGATTAGAGAATCAAAGGAATTAGAACACAACTGATTCATAGATCATTTTGGTTGAGGCACTTCTGGTTTACCTTCTTTCCTGAAAGAGACTAGCAGGAAGCTATTTGCTTCCTGTTGGTCTCTGTACATGGGCATATAAAGTAGTTCCTTTCTACAGAAAGTTGGGGACTTAAAGCAAACTCTTCCTTGGTTTATCCTTCAAAGCATTATAAAGCATGGTTAAGGAAGTGTATCAAGTCTCTCTTTTCTCTATAATACAGTAACTAGTATCATTGAAAGTTAGTGAGCTTAATTTCTCATAAAAAAGGAATAGTTCGGGCTTCCCTGGTGGCGCAGTGGTTGAGAGTCTGCCTGCCGATGCAGGGGACACGGGTTCGTGCCCCGGTCCGGGAAGATCCCACATGCCGTGGAGCGGCTGGGCCCGTGAGCCATGGCCACTGAGCCTGCGCATCCGGAGCCTGTGCTCCGCAACGGGAGAGGCCACAACAGTGAGAGGCCCGTGTACCGCAAAAAAAAAAAAAAAAGGGATAGTTCGTTGAAAATCCTTGTATCTCTTTACAGTGATAACCTTGGATTATAGCCATTATGTTCATCTCTGACTGCATTATACCCACATGTTATCATATATACTTCATACTCTGTTGAAATAAAATGTGCTCAGAAATAGTCTTTTATTGGATAATCTATTACCAAACCAATGGCAATAGAAAGTCCAGAGTTGTTGCATAAACAGATATGAAGTCACTTAATGTAAGGTATGTATTTTATGTATATTGTAAATATTTTGCTAAAAAAATTTCTTAGTGTGATGGGTACTACATTTGTTATAAAATTTGCTAAACAAATTTAAACAAGTCCTTAAGTTTCAGAAATATTCCCCCACATTGCTTAAAAATAACAGCACGTTGTGAGGAATTTGTCACACATCACATTTGTATTTTCAATATTAATTCATACTGCTGTGTCTGATACTTTCATGTCCCTAAATAGTTGACTTCTGTTTCATTAGAACAATAACTTCAATATTGCTTGTATCCTTTATGTAAATTTTAACTTTTAAAATATTGGAAACTGAAAGAAAATATTTCTTTACACAGGTGCTGATGGGAAGGGTGCCTGACAGGGGAGGACGGCCGAATGAAATTGAACCACCGCCCCCTGAAATGCCCCCTTGGCAAAAGAGACAAGAAGGCGGCGGAAGGGGTGGTTGGGGTGGTGGAGGTGGAGGTAGAGGAGGTGGTGGGAGTGGAAGAGGCGGTTGGGGAGGGGGAGGGGGAGGGGGGTGGGGTGGAGGTGGAGGAGGGGGTGGTAGAGGAGGAGGTTTCCAAGGCAGGGGAGATTATGGTGGAAGAGGGGGCTATGGAGGAAGAGGGGGCTATGGAGGAAGAGGTTATGGAGATCCATATGGAGGAGGTGGTGGTGGATATAGAAGATATTAAAAGCTACAGCATTTAGATAGCAGGCTTACTTCTTAATAGATACATTAGGCATAGTGTTCTAAATAACTACTTGAATGTCATCTTTGAAGTAAACACCATGTTAGGTTCCCTGATGATATCATTCTTGAATTGGGTTTAGTATGTAAAGAGCATTGTTTTATACTACTATTTGATCTCTTAGACAAAGTGATGATTTTTTCTGTATTCTGTGTACTCTTGAGCATGTTATATCTTTTTAAAAAACAAAAAAATGAGCAAAAATTATTTTTAAAAGTGTAAATATATTATTACCATCAAACTTGGAAAATAGAAAGTATTTTATTGTCATGATTGAATTTAGATTGTCACCTGTATTTTATTCAGGTCTGAAACACGTAAATGACCCCACTTGTAGTGGAAAGGAATATAGACTATTGCCTCATCTGTATTCCTGTGGCTGTGTTTTGTGTTTGTTGATCCTACTTTACAAAAAGGGAAAGGGACTGATTGATAGTTGTGTTCAAGAGGAAGATTTCTTGACTTTTTCTTTCTTTTATATGAGCAATTCCTCTGGCCAGGTTTGTGTTAAAATTCCATTAATTGAAGCTGAAGTCTGGTTTTTGCTATGCATATTTATTTTCCAACTGGATTTGAAATCTATATGGTTTTGTTTGACAGTAGAATTAAAGACTGAGGTCAGAATTACTCTAAAGGGACAAAGACATGTACTAATTTTACATGGTGGTGTGAAAAATATTTCTGTAAATTGGTTTCTTCATCATTTGTGCCATCACTTTAGGTCTCCGAATATTAAAAGGCAGGCTGCACTGTGCTACACAGGATTAGGACCCTCATATCCAGTTTCAGTAGATCAGAGGTAGGGCCAGGGTATCCCGTGGTAATTCTGAGTCTCAGCTAGATTTGGGAAACAAAGGGTTGGGGAATGATTAAATGTGGTTTGGTGGTTGGAGCAGTCGAAGGCTTGGGAATCAGAAGTTGTGAATTCAAATCATGGCACTAGTCCAGGGGTGCTATCGGTTGAAATGGCCATAGCTCTCAAGGATTAATTTGTCCTCATTTGTCAAATAAGGAATGTGATACTTGTGCCTTCTCAGGTTGTTTTATAAAGACCTAAGTACAAGTCCAATTTGTTGAGAATTTATAAAGGCCTGTTGTGAATGGTTTAAGAGGTGGCCCAAGTAATGCATTTTTCTCTTAGTGTAGAGAGAGAAAAAGATAGTCACATAAATGTTTTCAATCCCACTTTAAAATCTGTAGGCTCCTGGTCAACTCTTGTGCATAACAACTTTCTGTGGTCTAACCAACTCAACAGATAGAAGGCTGAGTACCTGTGGACAAATGGTATTTGATATTTGGCAGTGTTATTCTTGTTGTTGTTTTGTTTTACAGTAAACCCTGTGGAGAAATCTAAAATAATGTTAAACCTTCACATATTGTGTACAACGCAGTCTTGGCCATGTATTTTTCAAGCTAACCCTTCGAGGAAATTTGTTCAGGATAGGAAAACATAAATTTTTTGGTTATTCTTAAGCTTAGATTTTTAAAAAAATTTTACATGTAATGAAGAGACTTAATTTCATTTGTGATAGTTGAAGAAAAGCCTTTCCATATTAGGAAACACTTTTATCAGTAGCTATGAACTCTGAAAAATAAATAATTTTTAAAAAATATATACGCAAAGACCACTGGAGTAAAATATTTCAAAAAAGTTATTACTTAAACTGTTCATTTAAAACCTTTACATTTCTGCTTCATTTCTTTTCAGGAGCTTTAGTTGCTGATACAGGATGGGTTTACAACTACTTTCAGTTTCTTTTATTACTAAAGGTTTATGGCTAATAATGGTAGAAACATTAGTTTATTAATTTCTGTAAGATTTCTTTGTACCTTCATAGGAGTGCTGTTGGGTTATCTGCTACTCACTTTAAATGTTATCCAAGTTTAGCACTTGCTCCTGGAATCTTGTTGGAGCTGGAACCACTCTTATTTACACATTCCTATAAACTTCACTTGAATGAAAAGCTGAGTGGTCTAGAACCTAATATCTTATTCTTTCCTGTGAGGTAGGATTTTCATGAAAATCTTCTTTCAGTAAAAATTTCTTTCATAGAAAAGTTTGCTAAGCAATATCTAGAATAGCAATAAGGCAATTTGGGGCCTTAATGTGAAAGGCCATAATGTGAAAATGCTTTTATAAATTGAATGCAATACAAATGCAGAGTATGATGAATGGCACTTCACTGCTTCCTAAAATCTAACACCTTCTTCTGTGCCACCTCTTCATCATTCTTTTTTGCCTAGTTCTTAATTTTATCTTTTCCTACTACCTCATTTTCCCTCCCCTGTTTTCTTCTCTCTGCCTTGGTCTATCCTGTGGTACCTAATAGCACCTATAGACATGATCTTACTGGGAGTTTCTGGATTAAAGAAGTAACTGACCTCTTACCTGGATTTGTCCACCCATACATAATTACCACAACATTACACATAAGGTCTCGGTAAAAGAAGAGATGAAGTATTTCCTTTTAACCTGTTCCCTTGTGTTCTGCAGATCAGGGAAATCTTGCCTCACTAAAAAGAAAAAAAACATTTTAAACCAAAAAACATTTAATTACCTTTATGTGTGTCAAAAAGAAGGTATGATAACCCCCAAAATATTTGTGATGGAGAATGTTCTGAGGAATGATACGATCTATACCTTGTAAGGGGCACAGGGTAGAGAGATTTGGAGTGGGAATTGTGGGTGGAGGAGAGGGTAGGTAGTTTAATCTCTCTTTTAGGGCCAAGTTGTCAGTGTGACTTCATTGTTTTGTATGAAGGACTATGAAATGCCAAAATGATAAATATACCACATCCAAGTGTACCAGAATACATTCCACCATGGAATTTGAGTGATTGGAATATGTCCCTGTTCTCCCCTCCCCCCACCCCCCTTCATTGGTCTAGTTAAACAAAAGTTGGCTGATCATTAAGGAAAAATCACAGCTATCTCTAATCACTCTAGATAATCATGAGCATAAATGAATTGCTCTGGGTGATCTGTCCACTAGATTGAACCATCCTCTACCAATTCCATCCATAGTTTCAAAGTTTCTCTTCTTTACTTGCTTGTTTTCTTAGATAGAACTGTGGAATTAAAGCTGAAAGCCACAGGAATGACAACCTCAGATTTGTCTCCTTCAGTGTTAAGTATTTGTAGATATAATATTGGGGGATCACTGTAAGTCATTATGCAATAAGATGGGAAAAGGTTGAATATTTCTATATGTTACTACTTCATGTTATAGAAAGATTTAGAAAAATGTATACTGAATAATTAGTTGCTTTGCTTTTCCTTTCAGGAAGACTCAGTTTGGTTTGGTTAACAGAAGTAGGGAGTGGTCTCAGCTGTCGATTATAGTAAAAATTCAGGTGAGGCTTCTATATGTTCATGAACTAGAAGAAACACGGGACATCTATGCCGTAGGGATCCTAATGTCTTTTATCATACAAATATTACACAAAGAAAACTTACATTAGGTATCAAAAAAAACCCACCTTTACAATCTGTACATTTGTTTTTTCCTTGCAGTTCTTTTACATTATACATCTTTAAACAGAATTCACATTTGGCCAGTAAAACAGCAAATCAATTACCAAAGAAAATAAGAAATGACACTGTTGTTAACAAGATTTGTCCTTGTTTCAGCAGATAAATATATGCCCAAACTTATTTCAAGTTGATACAAGACACAAATTTGTATCCTAGGCTTGACGAACAAAAAATTTGTTTCATATTATTTCTGTAGATTTCATTAATCCCATGTAGTTCAGAGCAAATAATATTAATTTATACACTATACTTATTTGGCCATTGCTGAACTGTAACGACTTGTGGTGAAACTACTGCTTCCTATCCATTTCAGTGATAAATTCTGGAATGCTTGAGACTTTCTAGCCATGTTAATTTGACTAATTAAGGAGACTGTGACCTTTTGAATTCCTCTAGATCACAAATTATTTACATAGAAACTAACCTGGGCTCTGTATTTTGGATCCTGGGTAAGAAGAATGAAAAAAATTTAATTGTGTTTCATAACTATGCTTAAAGAAATTGCATTGTACCGTCTTTGGTCAGAGGAAAAGAATAGGTGAAGAATGTGAATTTTAAGGATGATTATAAACTCATGTTTGTTCCACATAAGGTAAGTAAGTAGCAAAGTACTTCTTATAGGATTATATACCAAGTGGTGGACCTAAGCAGCCCTGCCATGGGGATTTCTGAGTTTGGATTTAGAAAAAGGTAGATTTGTGTGTAAAGTGATTCCTTAAAACACTAACTGAAAGCTAGTCACTAGCTTTTTCACTAAAGCTCAGTTCAGTACAAGGAGGTATGCAAATGGGAACTGGTCTTTCATCAAAGAAACTTCTTAAATGATATGAATTCGCCAAGGAAGCTTATACTATATATATAATTTGTTTCTGATTAAGACTTGGTGTTGTTGGCTTTAGGTTTGGAACTTTTGGTTGCTGAGATTATATGCTTGGCAGTTGGTCAACTTGTGTATGAACTTTAAGTCAGCTTGGTGTCAGGCTTTCCAAGCATGGAAGGTAAGTTCTCCCCACCAAAAGAAAATGATCATATGAATTTTTTTTAGAGAAATAAAGAGTCTGACAAAGAAGTTTGTGAATAGTTGCCCAGATAATTAAATGAGCCCATTTATCATTAACCTTCATTAACAGAAGACTCACAGGACTCTTGTGATTTTGCCAAACAATACAACTTACATTCTGAGCAATTTCTTGATCTTGTAACAAACTGAACTTCGTGAATTTGTGTACATGACCAAAAGTCGTTTAACTCACGCATTTTACTAAGGAAGAAACAGAATTCCAAGCCACATGCATGACTGATGTTGTATATACATAATATGTACATATGTACATGCTGTCAGCTGTTATTGAAGCCTCTGATCCAATTAGCTTACTTCTAAATAGTATTAATAGTGAAGACAGTACAAGCACAAATTCAGTTCAGAAACTTCAAGAAAAAAAAAAATAGGATGGCATATGAGAGTTAAACATTTTTAAAAAGCCATAAATTCTTCATTCTATCCAGTGTAGATTATATGAGGGACAAACATCATGTTTGCGTTATGTTTTAGCTAATTAGCCAGCCATGTGTAAGGTGCTAATAGCCACATTTCCAGGTACTTAACTTGGCTACTTCTTTTATGACTCAGACTAAAACTATGAGTTGACCTGTAATTGGATGATGTCATGTTGTTTAATAGTCCCTTCCTGCTCTCCCCAAATTTATGGCTACATCTCTAGAAGTTCTCTTCTAGGTAGATATATCCTCATGTGTGTAAGAACGTAGTGAGGAAGAAGGGGAAAAGGCAAATTGATTAGATCTGAGGTAGTGAAGTGGGAACCAGATTTGTAAAGAATGCTGAAATATAGAGGAAGCGATTCTACTTTTGGAATGTGAGTATTTTTCCACTATAAGCAAGCTTTGGATGGAACAAAATAAATGCCTCAGGAAAAAACGGGAAGGAAACAAACTCATTTTCCAGGGATTTTAGTTCTAAGGAAGAAGCAGCTGGGCAGGCCACATAGAAGCTATCTTGTCAGAAAACTATAGTCATGTTTTTTATCATGCTTTTGATATTAGTCCCGGGGGGGGGGGGGGGCGGAATTCTGGTATGAATGGCAAATACTTTGCATTCTTCAGCTTTCCTCCCTTTGATTCAACTGGCTGGAAGAGAAAAACCATACCGCACAGTTGGAATCTTTTAAGTAACAAAAGAGTAACCAGCTTTCCTTCTTTAAAGTACCCTTTTGAAAGCCAGTCAGTCTAAGGTTTCCCAGGTCTTTGTGTTAAGAGGTTTAGGAAATGAGATCTCTGATACACTCTGCAGTTTGTGCTGCTTGAGTTTCTGGGCTAAGAACAGTCACCCTGCTCCATCTGAGCCAAGACATGATTGCTTCTTGCAAGCTGGAGGGTTTCTATCTTCTTCTGTGCATATTTCAGTTGGATCTTTAGAGCATTATTATCTGCCTTCAGGGTGTTTATTTCCTTAAAAAAAAAAAAAAGAATGAGGTATGTTAATAAAGCAGCAACGAATGGCAAATCAGTTACAGTACTGGGAGTACTACACTTGATTGGCATCTATTCAGTGTGGCTGAGAATTAAAAAGTGTTTTCAAGGCACGTATTTTGCCCTGAATAAAAAATAACACATTAAATATCAAATGAGCATGTGTAAACAACAATTAGTTTTGTTACATCAAAGATGTGAGTGGCTAGCAGGCAGAATAAACCATTCCTGGGCAATAGATGAATAATGAGAAAATCTTTGAATATTGTGTAACAGACCTAAACTTGGCAGAAATAGTCTTGGTCAGGTCTGAGGTATGAAAGCAGTGACTTGGAATTCTATAAAATGTGGTATTATAGTTCACATGCAATATTACATATATAATCATATTACATATTTTCTCCTCCAAATCATTGAAAACTAACAGACTCTTGAGAAAGATAAGAATTTTATCCCATCCCTGTAAACTGGGATTTATTTAATTTGCAGTGACTTAGTTATGGAGGCAGCTGTTGATTTCCAGTGTTGCAAGTGGCAGAATTTCATTCTTTGTTTATGGCTGAGTAATATTCCATTGCATGTATGTATATGCATATATATATACATACATCTTCTTTATCAATTCATCTGTTGATGGACACTTAAGTTGCTTCTATATCTATATCTATACATCTTTATCAATTCATCTGTTGATGGACACTTAAGTTGCTTCTATATCTTATCTATATCTTAAGTTGCTTCTATATCTATATCTTATAGTTGCTTCTATATCTTGGCTATTGTAAATAAGAACATTGGGGTGTGTGTATCTTTTTGAATTAAGTGTTTTCATTTTCTTTGGATATATACCCAGGAGTGGAATTGCTGGATCATATAGTAGTTTTTTTCAGTCTTTTGAGAAATCTCCATAGTGTTTTCCATATTGACTGCACCAATTTTCATTCCCCCCAGCAGTGCACGAGGGTTCCCTTGTTATCTTGTGTTCTTGATGATAGCCATCCTAATAGGTGTGAGATGATATCTCATTGTGGTTTTGAATTGCACTTCTCTGATGATGGTTGATGTGGAGCATCTTTTCATGTACCTGTCGGCCATTTGTATGTTTTCGTTGGGAAAAAAGTCTATATAGTTCTTCTGTTTTGTAATCAGATTTTGTTGTTATTGAGTTGTATGAGTTCTTTACATATTTTAAATAACTCCTTACCAGATATATCATTTGCAAATATCTTCCCCCATTCAGTTGATTGCCTTTTCATTTTGTTGATGGTTTCCTTGCTGTGCAAAAGCTTTTTAGTTAATGTAGTCCCATTTGATGATTTTTTGCTTTTGGTGTCGTATCCAAAAATTTATTGCCAAAGACCAGTGACAAGGAGCTTCTTCCTTCGGTTTTTTCAAGGAGTTTCATAGTATCAGGCCTCATGTTTACCTCTTTGATCCATTTTGAGTGAATTTTTATCAGTTGTGTAAGATGGGGGTCGAATTTCGTTGCTCTGCATGTGCTTATCCAGTTTTCCCAACAACATTTGTGAAGAGACTTTCCTTTCTGCTTGGGTGCTCTGGGCTCCCTTGTTGAATATATTAGTTGACTGTATATGCAGGGGTTTAATTCTGGGCTCTTTTCTGTTCCATTGGTTTATGTGTCTGTTTTTGTGCCAGTACCATACTGTTTTTATTATTGTAGCTTTGTAGTGTAATTTGAAATTAAGTGTGGTACCTCCAGCTTTGTGCTTTTGCATCAGGATTACTTTGGTTATTCAGGATCTTTTGTGGTTCCATATAAATTTTAGGACTTTTTTTTCTATTTCTGTAAAGAATTCCATTGGTATTTTGATGAGGATTGCATTGAAGCTATAGATTGCTTTGGATAGTATGGATATTTTAAGTCTTTTAAAAAAAATTTTATTTTGTTGAAGTCTAGTTGATTTACAATGTTGTGTTAGTTTCTGCTATACAGCAAAGTAATTCAGTTATACACATATACATATTCTTTTCCATTATGGTTTATCACAGGATATTGAATATAGTTCTCTGTGCTATACAGTAGGACCTTGTTGTTTATCCATTCTGTATGTTAATAGTTTGCATCTGCTAATCCCAAATTCCCAATTGACCCCTCCCCCCCCCCCTCCCCCCTTGGCAACCACAAGTCTGTTCTCTGTGTCTGTGAATCTGTTTCTGTTTCATGGATAAGTTCATTTAGGTCATATTTTAGATTCCACATATGGTGAGTGATATCATACGGTATTTTTCTGACTGACTTCACTTAGTATGATAATCTCTAGGTCCATCCATGTTGCTGCAAGTGGCATTATTTCATTCTTTTTTATGGCTGAGTAGTATTGCATTGTATATATATATATACCACTAAATCCATACTATATCTTTATCCATTCATCTGTTGATGGGCACTTAGGTTGCTTCTGTGTCTTGGCTGTTGTAAATAGTGCTGCTGTGAACAGTGGGGTTCATGTATCTTTTTGAATTATAGTTTTGTCCAGATATATGCCCAGGAATGGGATTGCTGGATCACATGGTAGTTCTACTTTTAGTTTTTTAAGGAACCTCCATACTGTTTTCCATAGTGGCTGCACCAATTTACATTCCCACCAACAGTGTAGGAGGGTTCCCTTTTCTCCACACCCTCTCCAGTGTTTATTATTTGTAGACTTTTTAATGATGGCCATTCTGACCAGTGTGAGGTGGTACCTCATTGTAGTTCTGATTTTCATTTCTCTAATAATTAGTGATGATGAGCATCTTTTCATGAGCCTTTTGGCCATCTGTATGTCTCCTTTGGAAGGAAAGAATTCAGGTCTTCTGCCAGACATTTTAGCAATCTTAATTCTTCTGATCCATGAACACAGGATGTCTTTCTGCAAAGTCTTGTAGTTTTCATTGTAGAAATCTTTCATTTCCTTGATTAAATTTATTCCTATTTTATTGTTTCTGATGCTGTTGTGAATGGGAAAGATTTCTTTTTCAGATGTTTTGTCCTTAGTGTATATAGAAATGCAACTGATTCTATAAGTTGACTTTGTATACTGCAGTTTAACAGAAAATGTTTATTAGTTTCAAGAGTTTTTTTTTGCTTAACCTTCAGGTTTTTCTATATACAGACTCATCTGCAGACAGTGACAGTTTTGCTACATCTTTCCTGATTTGGATGCTTTTTTACTTTCTTGTCTTGCCTAATCGCTGTAGCTGAGACTGTCAGTACTTTAGGTCATATTTTAGATTCCACATGTAAGTGATATCATACGGTATTTTTCTGACTGACTTCACTTAGTATGATAATCTCTAGGTCCCTCCATGTTGCTGCAAGTGGCATTATTTCACTCTTTTTTATGGCTGAGTAGTATTGCATTGTATATATATACCACTAAATCCATACCATGTCTTTATCCGTTCATCTATTGATGGGCACTTAGTGGTGAGAGTGTTCTTGATCTTGGTGGAAAAGCTTTGAAATTTTCTCCATTGAGTATAATGTTAGCTGTGAGTTTGTCATATATGGCCCTTATTATGTTGAGGTATATTCCTTTTATCCAGTCTGAGCAGGGTTTTTATCATGAAATTTTGTCAGATGTTTTTCTGCATCTGTTGAGATGACCACATGATTTTTATCTTTCATTTTACTAATGTGATGATTACATTTATTGATTTGCCTATGTTGAACTGTCTTTGCATGCTAGGGATAAACCCTACTTTTCATGGTGTATAAAATCTTTTTGATGTGTTCTTGAGTTCAGTATGCTAATATTTTGTTGAGAATTTTTGCATGTGTAGTCATCAGTGATACTGGTCTGTAGTTTGGTTTTCTTGTAGTTTCCTTATCTGGCTTCAGTATCAGGGTAAAACTGCCCTCGGAGAATGAGTTTGCAAATATTCCCTCTATTTTTTGGAAGGTTTTAAGAAGGACTGGTGTTAATTCTTTGAGTATTGGGTAGAATTTGCCAGTGAAGCCATCTGATCCTGGGGTTTTCTGTGTTGGGAGGATTTTGATTACTGATTCAAAGACTTTGTTTGTTATTGGTCTGTTCAGATTTTGTTTTTTTCTTGATTCAGTCGTTTGGTTGTGTATTTCTGTAAACTTATTCATTTCTTCTAGGTTATCTAGTTTGTTGGCATATAATTACTCATAATAGTCTCTTATGGTCCTATGTATTTGTGTAGTTAACACTTGTAATGTCTCCTTTTGTCATTTTAATTTTACATATTTGAGCCTTCTCCCTCCCTCCCTTTCTTTCTCTCCCTCTCCCTCTCTTTCTGGCTGTGTCAGGTCTTAGTTGCAACACGCGGGATCTTCGTTGCAGCATGTGGGACCTTTCATTGCAGCGCATGGGCTCCAGAGCACGTGGGCTTGGTTGCCCCACGGCATGTGGGAATCTTAGTTCCCTGACCAGGGATTGAACCTGTGTCCTGTGCATTGGAAGGCAGATTCTTTACCACTGGACCACCAGGGAAGTCCCTCTTTTTTCTTAGTCTTTTTTCTTAGTGTGAATAAAGGTTTGTCCATTTTGTTTATCTATCTTTTGTCAGTGTACATGAAGCTTTGGTTTGCTGTGGCACAACTGGCCGTTTTAAGGGCAGTTACTGTTAAATGATTATTCACAATCGATTTTATCTTTTTTGTCAGTCCTTTCTATTTTTTTTTCTGGTCTCTATTTTATTTATTTCCAGTCTGATAGCAGCAAGTTGACGTGGGGCAGGCTCACCAACTCCCTTGGCTTCACAGCCCTCTCTGAGGTCCTGTGAAGCTATTCTCTTCTCTGAAGAACAGGTGGGTAGAAATCTACTGGGTGGTCTGATGTAAGGTGTAGAGTCACTTTTGTTTGTTTATGAATGTCCAGTTTAGCTGTAAATAAAAGGAGAGAGAAAAAAGGAGCAACACATGCCACTGTGATGCTGATGTTACTGGTCTTCAAGACTTTGAATCTCGTGTTTTTACCTTACTTATACCATACTGATTACCCCCCAAAATATGGGGGTGTAATTTGGGATACATGAGTTGTTTCTCAACATAAATTACCTAGATAGCTGTCTGGTAGCTACTGTGTAATATTGAGTATTTGCTATGTGCCAGGTACTGTGTTACATGATTAATAGAGGTGGATATAGTATCAGACTGGGGATTTGAACCCAAGAGGCTTTGCATTTTCTTTTGTCCTGTGGTGGCTTAGAGGTATACACATACTTAAAATAATGTATAATATTTATTAATTATAATATGAATATTACATATTATTTTAAATACTCTAAAACATACATAGTGAATTCTGGTCCTTAGGTCCCAATGACAAGGATAAAAGTAAAGAGGGTTTACCAGCTCTGGTATTACTGGGTAGGAATGAATACTGGACCTAACTAACTCAGTCACCTGAAATCTTTCTACCACCCACTTCTTGCAGCAAGAAGTCACTGTTGCTAACAACTACATTGCTCCTTTTTTTACACGGCATGTAAAATGTCAGGATCTGAAGCAAGTTGTAGAGCACATGGACTGTATTTTACAGAGGACCAAACAGGTCACAGAGTTTATCAGCAGGAGTAAGAAATATCTGGGGCTAGAAGCACAGATCTTTGTCCCCAAGACTGAAGTTCTTTCTACTCTATCAAGTTCACTTTTCAAGGTTTCTTTCATTGTTCTTGAAAGTTGATTCTGGCTGCTTCTGCCCCTAGAGAGGGCTTTGTGTCACCTGCATCGGAAGATGTTCTGATTGATTCTTAGGAAGATGTTCTGATTGATTCTTAAAGCGTGTCTTAAAATAGTCTGAGTGACTACTTTTAATCCAGAAAATCTGTTCTTTTCTCAAGCGTTCCTCCTAATATTATGTTTTTGTTCTAGGCACCAAACCAGGAGTTTCACGTACATTATCTAACTTGTTTCTTCAATTCCTGGGGGTCTGACAGGGAAGGTGCAACACTGAGGAGGACCAGGTAGGGAATCCTGAGAACCTCTTGGGCAGTTTTACTATGTAGTGTAGAATTATGTAAGGAATTCTAGCCAGCTAGATGTTGGTTTTGTGTTTGTACTGATCGATAGGCCTCCAAATGATGTTTTGGGGAAAAAATGCAGACAGGCCTTACCCTATCTTTGGTAAGAAACTACTGTCCCATGACAAGAGGTCTGTCTAAACCAGCTCTCACCCTGAGCTTTGTACTCTAAACAAAAAGAAGTAATTAGTGATGACCCTATGGAATTGAGTATTTGGACAACTGCCTGTTGTCCCCAGTTGTCCTAGCTTCTACTTTCTTTTTTTCTATTCTTAACCTTATCATTCCCCTTCTCATCAAACCTTGGCATCATATTCTTGGTAAACCTTATTTTGTCTTTTCTAATACCTCCATTAGATAACTTATGATTAGGACATTGTGAGCCTAACAGATAAAAAGCAATTCTGCTACCACAACTGTTACCATTTACTACATTATATTGCTATAGATTATAATCAATGGTGCATTTTCCAACTACTGTTGATTTAGCTGTGTGTGTGTATGTAAAATCAGCACAGCCCCTGATGTTTTAGAGAAGAGTTCCCTCATTCTGTATTAAGAAGGAGGCTTTTTCTGCAGTGAGCTAAATACTCCCTTCCTTTTTTTTGCTAGCACGGTGATCACCTCCTTTTAGGAAGATGTCCAGGCAACCATGAGGCCCCCAAAGACCTCTAGGGAGGGAGGATTTAGGCAACTTGCTTTTAAGTCTAGAAAAAGGGTGTGGTGTCACCACAGTAAAGCTGATCAATAGAAAGTGGTTTTTCTCAAGGAGCCTACTGTGAACAGAGGTTTGGGCCCTGGTACCAACACTTTGAGATTGTACCTTTATGGCAATAGGAGCCCTGTCTATCCTGTCCTAGTTACATAATGTGAACCAGGGCCCCCACTGGTTTCTTTGAGACAAAGCAGAATCCTTTTTTTTCCCCTTTATCTTTCTAATAATCAACCTGGTCTGAATCTTCAGTTTACATGTTCTTCCCTGGTTTAGCCCCACTTTTCTCAGAGTCTGAAAAAAAGGAAAAGAGGGTACCTGTTCCAGCTCTTGGTAGGTTGGGAGTCTGAGGTGACGGAGCTCCTCCTTTGATTTTATGAGGGATTCTTTATTCTCCCACTTGACAAAAGCCCGCTTTCTGACCAAGACTGGGCTGGGACATGGAGATGTAGTGCTGGGAAGTACATACAGAGTATCCTGGGCCGTCTTCCTTGGGGAAGCTAGCACAAAGTGACTGGAAGGGCCCTCACTGCCAAGCCAAGACAGTGCTTCGGTCTGGGTGGCCTTGTGGGCAACAGTCCTCTTCAACCGAACAGAAATCTTCTGTGAGGACACTCCCATGAGCATGATGGTCCGATCCTTACTTTCCTCATTGTGTTCCACAGCCTCCCCATTAGGGAATGTGAAAGGTCCTTCCTCTGGTGCTGTAGGAAGGTACGTGACATGTTAGTACTTTGGCTCAGAAGAGCAGAGACTCAGTATTGACACGTTAGTTTCCTTATTAAATGAGACTTTTCTTATTGGTACAGGAGTTCCATAGGCCCAAAGTGGACTCATTTTCAAGCAGGCAGTTTAGGGGGTAAGGGGGCTTAAATCCAGGGGCCTTGCTGGCCAAGCTATGGCCACTGGTGTCAGGCTGCATCCACCCTGAGGAAAGGCCATCCCTTAAAGGCTCCTTTTCTGTTGCTTTTTTCTATTTGCTTGCTTGCTTTTGCTCCCCAAAAGGTAGCGCGCCTAAGATTCCGTCCCAAGCTTTCTGTATGTCTAGGGTTTATATTTACCATTTAATAGATAACAGTGATAACCAGTAGTCGTTTTTTTCACTACAAGCAGACCTTGCCAAATAGCACTTCTACAGCAATTTTCATTTGTTGCCCATGATACACCTATGTTTAACCTACCTATTAGTCTACTTCCTGGCAGTCCTCCTCTTGTCACTATTGGGCAAAGCTCTGGGGACTGGGGAGAGATGGTCTGGAGAAGAGAAACCTCTAGGTGCAGCCCCTTTCCAGGCTTCACTCTGAGGCCGCAGACCTTCATGGTGCTCTCTGCCACTTTTCTCCCAAGAAAGTCTGCATTGTGTGTGACAGAGTTGTGGTGTCCACAGGTGAAATGGAACTCTTAAAATACAGGGTGCATATTATACAGGCATGTTTGTGGTGGTTTTTATTACAAGTAGGAAGGATAAAGGTAATCTTTCCTCCCCGAAAACCGTATTCTTCTACCTTCACTTCCCAAGATGAACATTCCCAGTGCTTGCTTACCATGGTGCAGATCTTTGGCTCCCAACGAGCAAAGGTTGGACGTTGGCCCCACAGAGGTGCTGTTCTCTGTGGGAGCTGTTGAGTTCTTGGCTCGCTTCTTGCACTCGAACACAACCAGGTCTTTGCATTGTTTGTGGCAGTTCATCCCGCAGTCTGTGGACAAGACACCCCGATCAGGAAGTCTTTCACTTTCTCCTCCAGGGTCTCAAGACCACATGCATGCAGTGCTCTCGTCACACATGCCTGTCCTGTCTTCTGGAGCTAGGACACTTAACACTTCTATTGAACTTAGCATTCTTCTCACTGGGTCAACCCTGGATCTCACAACCTTGTCACAGCCCTTATGAGTCTGGGAATCAGAAGTGGGGCATCCTGCTCTCCTAGACAGAAGTGGTGTTTTTCTTGGTCATCCTGCACATACTGCCTACTCTATAGAGACCCTCTGAAGGCTCCCAGCTGTTTTCCTTGCAGTAAAAGGTCTTTTCTCCTTTACTCCTGAACTTTTCTAGTCATAAGGAAGGACAATTATCCTGGGATATCTACTGATAAAAGGAAAGCTGACAAGGGCCTTTGGTAATCACTTATCTTTTGTTTCAGAAGTGATTCTGTGCCTGTCTTTGGGGACCCATGACCATATGAGAGCATAATCTACCAGTCATCCCTATTTCCAGGGCAAACAAAACAAAGTGAGGCTCTTGTAATGAGCTGCATAACTAGTCACCCAGATTCCTCTCTTCTTTGTGGTGGCAATCACTCACTCTCAGGGGGTGCTCTAGGGAAGCCAGTTTGAAGATGAGGTGTGCTGAGAAGCTGTGGACTGAATGGACAACTACTATGGGTAGAGAGACAACACACTGGACAAAGCTGGGCCTTACCTTTACACCGATACCCTTGTTTGATCACTCCCCAGAGCTGTGGGACAAAGAAGAGACAGTTAGAATGCACCACAGGTCCTTCATCTACCTGGTAGGAGGCTAGACATCCATTCTTTGTTTTCCCTCATTCTACTCTACCTCAAGTGGGAAGGAAACCTCATTTATCTCTCATGTGTCTTAATCCCTCCTGGCCTTAAACTGAAAACAGGAAAAGTTTGTGCTGATCAGAGGTAAATGTTCTCAAGAAGCTTACTACAGTGGATTTATGACCCAGGCCTGAAGTGGATGAATCACAGGACAAATAGGCTTCTTGAGACTCCAAACTAAAGAGCAAGTATACAGAATCCTGGGGTCACGAACTGAGTTTAGGAGGAAACTGTTGGTTGGGGTGGGACAGGGGAGGGGCAGAGCCCAAGTGACTTCTTAAAAGGCAGTTCCTTTTGAAGGGGTGAGGATGTCTCATATTTCTCTTTTCTAACAGCATATGGATATAATACTTTAAAAGTATATCCCAAATTCAACATTTCCTCACCATTTATCCCAGGCCTTTCTACCAGAGGAGAAAATAAATCAGGAAGAAATGGGAAAAGATGAGTGCAAGTAAAACCCATGCATTTGAGGACGAGGTTATTGTAGGTGTTTGCTTAGGCTCTAGGCAGGAAGAGTTGATAAAGGTGCATGAGGTCTGTACCTGGCTTAATCACTTTAAACTGTCTCATAACCCTCCCCACATTCAACCCCGAAGCACTCTGAGAACAACTCACAAATCCAGCACAGTTGTCACAGAAAGTGGGCTTCAGGTAGGTTGTCTCTTGGAAGTTGTGAGGAAAGCCCAGGCCCAGCTTGGAGTAGATGGAGCTGGCCCTCATGAAGTAGGCAGTGATCTCTTCTCTGCTGATGAGACCTTCCCTGCCCGCAAATGAGAGAGAAGGATGTGAGCGGGGCTGGGTAGCAAGGCAGCTTCTAGCCTTAGAAACTCACTCTTTTTTTATCCTTGAGGGGTAGTACAGTATGTATTACCTGACACTTACTTCCATGAGCCCTCCTTTTAATAAGGATGTCTGGGTAGCACGTGTAAGGAGGTGAGATGGCATTACTCATTTCCACAGAGTCACTCTTCGGCTAAACCAGGTTTTCCTAACTAACTTAACCACTATCCACAAGACTTGAAAAAGAAGTGATGGAAATGTGGGTATAGGGAAATATATCTTATGCTGAGGTTTCTGACTTTAGACAGCACCTACTATATAACTGTAACCCACCAACCAAACATTTCTCTGGTTTCACACAGAGAACCAACTTCTTGAGAAAAGTTAGTAAATATTAGTTGTTCCTCATAATCTGTAAGGACAAAGCAAGAAGGAAGACTAAACTTTTTCTTACTTACAGTTGACTAGACTATTCCTAAACTGGCAGAATTATGGAGTCTTTGCATTTAAAACATGCATTTTTCATGGTGAAGCCGGACAGGCATCTGCTTGATAATGGCTCTCTTAGCACTGAGATTCATTAAGTGACCACATCAGCAACACATCTGAGTTTACAAATTCTTCTAGTGACACACCCATAAAGCGTTCTTACCAACAGGTTCACAGCCACATATTCCCATACACAAACCCTCACCTGTCTTTGTCCATCACACAGAAGGAAAATGGAAAACTCGCAGCAATCTTTTCAAATTCTTCCTGGGAAATGTATCCATCCTGGTCATGATCATAGTTCTTGAATACAGACTGTGAAAAAGGAGTTTCTTTGATGATTACGAAAGAGAAACCAATCATAGCCAAATGACAAAGGGGCCAGAACACCTCAGTCTGAGTGAGAGGAACAAGGAAACCTGCTCCTTAAGCTGCTGCCGAGATTCAGTGGGTCACATCCCAGGTCTCTGCAGGTACCAGCATCTGGAGGGTGGCCAGATGCTTTCAATTCCATTAGCATGTCAGTATGCCCTCACCCCAGCTGCCCTGTACTCCTAGGTCACTGCACTGAGGGATGTTCCCCCTTCACTCTGCCCTTTCTTCACTGCACAGCTCAGATTGCCACTTCTCTGTGTAGCTTCTACTAACAGCCCAGTCGGAAGTGCTCCCTACCCCCTCTTAATCCTCTACCAATTGTTCTGTCACTTGCTGGCTCGTTCTTTTCTTGTTACACTGGAATGGTCCACAGGATAAATGTAGAAATATGAAGGTAGGTACCCCTCCTCAGCATTTAGCACAGTGAATTGAATCAAGCAGTGTCACACTTTTCAGTTTTAGATTCTCATCACCCTTACTTACACTCAAATCTTTTCCAACCTCTCTCTGTCCCCAAATCGACTGACAACCTTTAAATATATGATCTCTTGCTAGGCCTTTAAGAGGTACACCTCCCCCCAGAAGAGGCAAAGTGTGTTGGCAAAATGTAACTTCTGAACTGTTCTGCAGCCACAATATGAGAAGTAACTGGTTCCCTGTGCTCACACAGGAACGAGTTTCAAGTTTCTTACCTTTGTGTTTCTACCACTGTGCTCCCCTCTCCCCACACACAACACTAAGCCAGGCAATGCCTTGCTTTTCATCTGTGCAAACACAGCTGTACTTACATCCACCATCCTCTGGACATGTTTGCTTATGGTCTTTGGATCAGGTTTGGGAGATACTCCAGAGGCCCAGTCCACAACTACTGGTGGCTTTGAAGGTGTTAGTGGCTAAAATGAAATATTCAGAGAAATCCCCATGACTATAATGCAATGCTATAACCTTAAGCTCCTTCCTTTCCCATTACCTGGTAGCTGCAGCTGTGGACAACCCTCAACTATGTGCAGTGGCAAGGAGCAGAGGGCCCACACGTAACTGAAATCTAGAACAGTAACCTTGGCTAACACAAGTGTTGTGCTTTACAGTTTACAAAGAGCTCCTCACATACATTGTCTCCATCTAATATAATTTAAAATTTTCAATATGCCTGGAGTTTCACTTCCCTCTCTATTAAAGCTTTTGTTGAAGCTATCGACAAAGAGTAAAGTAGATCATTTAAATTTTCTCTCTCTAAAGCAACTACAGAAAGAGGAACAAACAAAACCCAGTTAGTAGGAGAGAAATCATAAAGATCGGAGCAGAAATAAATGAAATAGAGATGAAGAAAACAATAGCAAAGATCAATGAAACTAAAAGCTGGTTCTTTGAAAAGATAGATAAAATTGATAAACCTTTAGCCAGACTCATCAAGAAAAAGAGGGAGAGGGCTCAAATCAATAGAAATGAAAAAGAAGTTGCAACTGACACCACAGAAATACAGACTACTACAAACAACTCTGTGCCAATAAAATGGACAACCTAGAAGAAATGGACAAATTCTTAGAAAGATACAAGCTTCCAAGACTGAACCAGGAAGAAATAGAAAATATGAACAGACCACCAATCTCAAGTACTGAAATTGAAACAGTGATTTAAAAACTTCCAACAAAAGTCCAGGACCGGATGGCTTCACAGGTGAAGTCTATCAAACAAAAAAAACAAAAAAAGAGTTAACACCTGTCCTTCTCAAACTCCTCCAAAATATTGCAGTGGAAGGAACACTCCCAAGCTCATTCTAGGAGGCAACCATCACCCTGATACCAAAACCAGACAAAGATACCCCCCGACCACAAAAAAAAGAAAGAAATTACAGGCCAGTATCACTGATGAACATAGATGCAAAAATACTCAACAAAATATCAATACTAGCAAACCGAATCTAACAATACATTAAAAGGATCACACACCGTGATCAAACAGGATTTATCCAGGGATACAAGGATTTTTCAATATCTGCAAATCAATCAGTGTGACACACCACATTAACAAACTAAAGAGTAAAAATCATATGATGATTTCAATAGATGCAGTTAAAAGCTTTTGACAAAGTTCAACACCCATTTATGATAAAAACTCTCCAGAAAGTGGGCATAGAGGGGACCTACCTCAACATAATAAAGGCCATATATGACAAACCCACAGCTAACACCATTCTCAATGGTGAAAAGCTGAAAGCATTCCCTCTAAGATCAGGAACAAGACAAGGATGTCCACTGTCTCCAGTTTTATTCAACATAGTTTTGGAAGCTCTAGCCATGGGACTCAGAGAAGAAAAATAAAAGGAATCCAAATTGGAAAAGAAGTAAAACTATCACTGTTTGCAGATGACATGATACTATACACAGAACATCCTAAAGATTCTACCAGAAAACTACTAGATCTTATCAGTGCATTTGGTAGTTTCAGGATACAAAATTAGTACACAGAAATTTCTTGCATTCCTACACACTAACAATGAAAGATCAGAATGAGAAATAAAGGAGACAACCTAATTTACCATCGAATCAAAAGAATACCTAGGAATAAACCTACCTAAGGAGACAAAACACCTGTACTCCAAAAACTGTAAGACACTGGTGAAAGCAACTGAGGATGACACAAACAGATGGAAAGATATATACCATGTTCTTGGATTGGAAGAATAAATATTGTCAAAATGACTATACCACCCAGAGTAATCTACAGATTCAATGTAATCTCTATCAAATTACCAATGGCATTTTTCACAGAACTAGAACAAAAAATTTTAAAATTTGTATGGAAACACAAAAGACCCCAAATAGCCAAAGCAATCCTGAGAAAGAAAAACGGAGCTGGAGGAATCAGGCCCCCTGACTTCAGACTATACTACAAAGCTACAGTAATCAAAACAGTATGGTATTGGTGCAAAAACAGAAATATAGACCAATGGAACAGGATAGAAAACCCAGAAATAAACCTACACACCTATGGTCAATTAATCTATGATAAAGGAGACAAGAATATACAGTGGAGGAAAGACACTCTCTTCAATAAGTGGTGCTGGGAAAACTGGACAGCTATGTGTAAGAGAATTAAATTAGAACATTCTCTAACACCATACACAAAAATAAACTCAAAACAGATCAAGACCTAAATGTAAGGCTGGACACTATAAAACTCTTAGAAGGAAACACAGGCAGAACACTCTTTGACATAAATCGCAGCAAGATCTTTTTTGATCCACCTCCTAGAGTAATGAAAATTAAAAAAAATAAACAACTGGGACCTAATTAAACTTAAAGGCTTTTGCACAGCAAAGGAAACCATAAAAAACAAAAACACAGCCCACAGAATGGGAGAAAATATTTGCAAATGAAGTGGCTGACAAAGGATTAATCTCCAAAATAAACTCATGCAGCTCTATATCAAACAAAGCCACAAACGACCCAATCAAAAAATGGGCAGAAGATCTAAATAGACATTTCTCCGAAGAAGACATACAGATGGCCAAAATTCACATGAAAAGATGGTCAGCATCACTAATTATCAGAGAAGTGCAAATCAAAACCACCATGAGGTATCACCTCAACACTGGTCAGAATGGCCATCATCAAAATGTCTACAAACAATAAATGCTGGAGAGGGTGTGGAGAAAAGGGAACCCTCCTACACTGTTGGTGGGAATGTAAATTGGTACAACCACTATGGAGAACAGTTAAAAGCTAAAAATAGAGCTACCATATGATCCAGCAATCCCACTCCTGGGCATATATCTGGAGAAAACCATAATCCAGTGTTCACTGCAGCACTATTTACAACAGCCAGGACATGGAAGCAACCTAAGTGTCCATCAACAGAGGAAAGGATAAAGAAGATGTACATATATATGATGGAATATTACTCAGCCATAAAAAAGAATGAAATAATGCCCTTTGCAACAACGTGGATAGACCTAGAGATTATCATACTAAGTAAGTCAGACAAATATCATATATCACTCATATGTGGAATCTAATTTTAAAAATGATACAAATGAACTTATTTACAAAACAGAAACAGACTTACAGATATCAAAAACAAACTTATGGTTACCAAAGGGGAAATGTTGGGGGGAGGGATAAATCAGGAATTTGGGATTAACATACACACACTACTGTATATAAAACAGATAACCAACAAGGACCTACTGTATAGCACAGGAAACTTTACTCAATATTCTGTGATAACCTATATGAGAAAAGAATCTGAAAAAGAATGAATATATGTATACGTATAACTGAATCACTTTGCTGTACACCTGAACAGCAGGTACACTCCAGTAACATTAAAAAAAATTTTTCCTCTCTGTTCTCTACTTACTATTTAGTAGAGACAAGGATGAGGAGAAAAATAGCTAAAAGGCAGGAAGACACGCAAGAAAAAAAACCAAGAAGTGAGGCCTAGACAAGCTGAGATGGAATCCATTCCTAAGTATCTGAGACTTGGCCCAAATTAAAATCTCTTCAAAAAATGAAAGAAGGTCCCCTTTTCGTTGGAATGCCCTCCAACACCCTGAAACCTGCCGAATATGTTCAGTAAACATCTTTGGTTACAATAGTATGCTAGAACTTGGTCTTTCTGTATAGAAACAATGAAATTTAGCCATCTGAACAGATAAGCTGAATTTCTCATGTACAGGCAACTCTCTGCCCTTGAGTACCACTTGCTTTGGAGCTGGGGAGCTGCCCAGGAGACTGTGGGGATTATTGGTTCTTCAGAAGGAAGACTGAAATTATTTCACCTGCCTGTAGGAAGCCAGGGCCAGATAACCTGTGAAGTCCCTACTGTGCAGCCAGGACTGTGCACAGGACTTCTCATCATAAGAGGTCAAAAGACCCAGCAGACTGCTCTTCCTGACCCACGTGAATACAAGATGTGGGGGCTTTTCCATCTACCAAGTTGAAAGTCTTCTGAAGCTGAGCATCTGATTAATATACATATCATTATCATCAACAAATCATGAAGAGAAACAACTGCCTTGAGGACACTTTATAATTAATAGGAGGGAGAGGTCACTCCAGCCCACCATGCTATATCCCTTCTCTAACTAGTAAACCACTGGCTGATTCCCCCACTCCCTCTGACACTCATGGCATGTAGTTATTTACTGTTCACATATTAGTCTTATCCCCTCGAGTTGTGTACAAACTCCTTATGGTCAGGAACTATTCCTAATACATATGCTGAAGCTTTTCTTATTCCTAGCACAATGTTGGGCACATAGTAAAAACATAATATGCTTTTTATAACCTGAACTAAAGTCCATTCCAAGATGGATGACCTTGATGAGAGGCTTGTAAAGCACCTGTTACACATGGGAGTCTTAATGTGAAAAACTCACTGGGGCTTTGTGGTTCCTGGGTTCCCGGGCATAAGAAAGCTCGTAGATTTCGTCTTCAGTGTAGTAGAGATCTAGGGATAACTGCAGATCAAAGGAGAACAGAGTTAATTGCTAGGATGCTGTTTGCCTTTCCCAGGGCCGATGTGTTTCTTTCTTGGTTCTTCCTCTCTAGTGGTTTACCCTTTTAGGCTGTAAGTCATTTGTTTTTAAAAATTCACAAAATTTTGGGGGTATAACATCTACTATTGCAGTAGGGCAAGCGTTAGTTTTTGTTAAAATATTTTTAAACTTTGGAGAAGTCTCAAGATGCCCACTTTTAAATTATGGTTTAATAGCTAAGCTTCTAGGCAGAGCTTAGGCCGAAGGCCCTATCTAGTCAGATGGTCCACACCTCACGTGTTCTCTCCCAAAGCAGACGGATGATCTGAAAGGACAGTTTGCATGGCCTGATACCATTAAAATTTGATTCCAGCAACAGAACCCAGTTTAAATGATAATAGGTAATATCAAACAATATTAAGAGTTTCATATATCTTAGAAAAACTTTAGAGGAGAGAGGTCTTAGAAATAATCTTGTTCTTAATCTGGATTCTATGCATGGGCTTCAGGGGGTTCAGAACTCAAAAACATCCGTATTTTTGAGTATATATGGCTTACGTATATTTTGGGAGGGAAATGCTTAGTTTTCCTCACAGAATTTGTGAACCAAGAAAGTTAAGGTTCAGTGCCTCTTTCCTCAGATGATGCTGTCTAAGGCTGAAACTAGCCAAGGTCACCTGGACAATTAGCAAAAGGGCTGGGATTAGACACCAGCTGGATGCAAAGCCTGAGGCACTATCAGAATAATCCTGTGAGGTAGGAAGAGGCTACAGTGATTATTCCATTCTGCAAAAAAAGCAGATTAAAAACTGTCTAATTTTAGAACTGAAAGAGAAGGGAGAAGTCATCGCAGAGATGAGTCCCTCTGATTTTACAGAGAAGGAAACAGAGAGAGTTATGTGCCCACAGTCAGTCACACAGCTGGTGAACTATAGAATCACAGGAGTGATTCTGGAAGGGAGTTCATCTGATCTCACCCCCCACCCAAAGTGCAAATCCTGGTCTCCTGCATCACTACAAGTGTTCGCCTGCCCTTGGCTTAAATGTCTCTGGGATCCAAGCCAGTGGTAGCAGGACCCAAATAATGAACCTATTTTTTTCTTTTTTTTTTAAACTCAATGCCTTGTCCTTTTTTTAAATGAAAACCGACTGTCTCCAATCTCTTACCAAGCCTTGTATCCTGATTTGCTATCAGCTCCTCCCAGAGAGCTTAGGACTGGCTTTTGTAGGGGGAGGGGAACACTCCTAGAGGTCCAAAGGGCATGGTGCTTAAGAGCACAGCCCCGGAGTCCCACCACCCGGGTCTGAGCCCAGGATCTGCTGCTTAATAAGTGTGGCTTCTGGCAAGTTACGTCTTTGTGCCTCAGAATCCCCATCCATAAAATGGAGGTAATGATAGTATCCACTTCATAGAGTTCTTGTGAGGCTTAACTGAGCTGATCTTTGATGAGGTAGCGCTCAGTAATTTGTCTCCCATGGAGCCTTACCGTCAGCAGGTGCACCAGGTCCTTGTTGGCCTCCAGGGGTGGGGCCACCTCTTGCAGCTGGACCAGTTCATTGATATGATTGTAAAGGGCCAGCAGCTTGTGGACGTTCACCTTCCCCTCCTCCAGATAGTCGGGCATGGCTTCATACAGGGAGATGAGGTCCTTGAGGTGTACCCCCAGGATGGGGATCTTGAAGTGGGTGCACTCCCCGTAGGCACGCCGGTAGTTGTCATAGTTTCTGCAGGAGGACAGCAGCTCGGTCATCTCACCCAGAACCTACAAAGCAGAGGAAGGGAGCCAGTCACAGGTACCATCCAGGCAGGCTGCGTTTCTGCAGCGGCTGCCTTTTACTCTCAGCTCCTACCATAATTTCACCCCGTCCCTGATTTGTCAGGCAGGGGGTGGTCCACCTAAAGGTGTAGATTCTGACTCCCCAGTTAAAACTCCAGCTTATGTCAAACATCGCAGAGTAGATTTAGAAAACGCAAGGTGTGCTTTACTACATAACTGGAAAATTCTAGATGAGGTTTTATTTACCATTTTTATGCTAAAATTGTTCTTTAAAAAAATAAGTAAGCACACGATAAAAAAGATTTAAAAAGTACAAGAGTATACAGTGCATAGTAAGTGTCTCTCTGACCTCTACCCCAAGCCACTCAGTCCCCTTCCCTAGTGTCCTCCGAATGATTCCAAAGACACCGCACCGCATAACACTTCAAGTGTGCTGCCCACGCAGCTGGCGCGGGGAAGCGTGTTTCCAGCGTGGCGCTTCAGTCACCTGTCAAGTGTTGTTATTCCTTATGCTGCGCTCTGTGGGCCTTGGCTCAGTGAGTCTCAAGATGGGCCTATGCCTAGGAAGCAGGCGACATTCCACCCATGGACCGAAACCCTGGATAGGGAGACTGAACAAACTAGACCAATTCCCAGCAATGGACCTGAGAGAGGACGAGGCAGAGGCCGTGGGGGGCTCTGCGTTAGAGCCTGTGCTCTGCCGTGGCCAGAGGGCGCGTGGTCGCTCCCAGCACAGCAAGGGCACAGCCAGGTCTGCTGTTCCTTCCAGTGCACCTGCTTTAAGTCAGCACGCAGTTCACAGAACCCCACCCCCGTGTGTGGTGACCAGCCTTCTCAGAAGCAAAGACAGGAAGGAGAGACTCACGTCACAACACAAAACAACCATTTTAAACACTGTGCTGGAAATTCCTGTAATAAAATCGTGGCCTAAAGAAGTACCCTTTCTCCCGATGAAGAGCTTGAGGTCTGGGAGTCAGCCCCCGGCAGCCATGTGGCTGCCAAGAGAGCCTCCTCACACACCTCTAGGAAACAGGGCGCGCGAGTGTGGAGTGTGGGAAATGCTCACAAGACGAGAGACTAGCAGCAAAGATGACAGGTATTTTTGTTCCCCTTGGAAGGTGACATAAACTACTGCAGGACACTAGCTTTAATTCTGGACTTAGGAATTCACTATGCAGACCACCCTGAAGGTCAAGCAGCTACAGACAGGAAGCACTGCTATGGGGGGACTCCAAGCTGCAAAGCAGCAAGCTACATCTTGTAAACGAAATGACACGAAGGCACTTTAAATTCTGTGATTCTCTCCCTCTGAGACACAGGCAGTCTTCAGTTGTTCTGCCTGCTCCCAGCCAGCACTATGAGGGAATTATAAGGTGACCAGACCACTGGGAGGTGGGGGTGGAGCGGTGTCCCCAGACCCCAGCATTGTCAGACCAAGGATGATTAATAAGAGGCTTTCTGAAAGGAGGCTGAACACCTGGGAAAACGGATGTGGCAACGAGTCTCATAACATCTCTCCCTAAGAAGAGAGCTCGCGAGGGGACTGGGGTTTGAGTTTAGTAAGGGAGGCCAAATGAGATGAAATACCCAGAGCAGCTGTTATCAAACCCATACCATAAGTAGCTGCATTTATACCTGTACTATATCATAGTGGTTTACACGTGTGATAACATCCGTAGGTATAAAGGATTAAAGTCCTTTCTATAAAATCTAATTAATAACGTAGGAAAGTACATAGGACACTTAAGAAAAATGTTCCTCAATAAAATACCACCTATTAAAAAATGGTACCTGAAAAGCTCATTTCCAACTATCTGGAAAAATTCAGCTCTCCATAATGTCACTCTCCAAGGGTTCCAGCTAGCTAGGTTTCTAACGTGTCACTAAATAACCTCACTTGACATGCAGACTGAACTATGGTCACTGAACCACTCTTCCTTGCTAGAGCAAGTGAGTTCTCACTAAAGATGGTGACTCCGGACACTCAGTGGCATACGAACATGGGAAACACACACACATTGTTTCAAATCACCAGCGGGAACGGGTGCAGTAACACTGCGGCCAGACTGAGTCACAGTCACCCTCAAATCTGTGACATCCCCATTCCTGTCCTGTGGGTTTTCTTAGGGGTTGCTTCCTTGGTATTTTGCCTGGTTGAAAAGGGATGCTTTGGTTTGGAAATGCTCTCTGGGCTGCCCCTCAAGGAGGAAACGCTGACGCTAGTCCTAGGAATGCTGCTAAGGGGCCGGGGAGGAGACAGGAGCACTGACCTTATTGATTTCATGCGGGACATGTGAACTTGTCTCCTTGAGCCTGGAGATTGAGCTGTGACAGAGCCCTCCTATCACAGCCATCAACGTATTGAAGTTCTGTAGTTGGTGGAGCTTCTGTGACACAGAAAACAGAGTCACTGTACATGTCAGTTACATGGGACCTTAGATGCTGCCTCTCATCTCTGTGTTATGAGTTTTCCTAATTCTGGCCAAAGGCTAGCAATCAGGTATTGCAATTTTCTGTCCATTTCTTTCCTAAGGCTTAATTCCAGACCAGGAGGTCCCAAATCTAGCAAAGCGTCATGTCTTCCTCCTTTAGTTTCAGCTGGTCTGTGGACCACCCTCTACAGCAGTGGCTTCTAACACCCAAAGTACTTGTTTAACACAAAGATTTCTGGACTCAAGTACAGATGTTCTGATTCCCCGGATCTGGGGTTGAGCTTAGGGATCTGTGCTTTAGTTAACATCAGAGCAGGTGGTCCATGTACCACACTTTAAGAAACACTGGTCTAGAACATCTAGAGATGAAAAAATATATCGTTCAGCATAATCCTTTATATCCTTCACCCCAAAGTAACCAGACTTTTATTTCTGAGGGCAACGCCAATGCCTATATAGCACAGTAACTGGGACAGAGATGCTAGAATCTCTGTGAAATTTCAAATATGTGTTCACAGTATCTGCTTTTCTCTTATCAGATGCCTAAACTCTGCCCCTCAAACACTAAGCCCAGCCATTCAACACAACATGGGCTCACAGACCTAAATCAGGCTGGTCCAGCTCCACTAAAACCTGAAGTTGCCCTTTCCTTTGCCATGTGGGCCACATTTGGTAAAACAATATAGGCTGGTAAGCATCTTCTGAAAAATGTTAAAGATCTAAACAGATCTAACCATATCCTGACCTTGAAGATGGCCTGTAGGGCCCTCTCCATACTGCCCTTGTGTGGGATGTAGAAGAGTCACCGTATCTAGATCTGGGGACAGGTAAAAGTGCACAAACCCCACCAGGAGGTTCATGATGAGAAAGCAGCTCTAATGGATAGACTAGGCTGGGGGAAGAGGGGATAATTTACCTCTTAGCCCAGGCACTAAGTCTTAATCCAGTCACTCACCTGAGCCACCTGGATGAACTTGATGAAGACTTCAGCTCGGAGCTGGGGGGTGGGGCGGCTGAGAACCATCAGTTGTACCCACTGGGAGATGCCGTTACACAGGGCAATGGACCGCTCCATGGTAGGGTTCTCCTTCACGCAGCTATTCACGAGGTAATTCTGATAATCGGAGAACTGGGGAAAAAGAAACTCATCAGGACTGCCGCTCCAGTATTCTGGGAGACCCGAGGGGCATATTACCTCTGCTGAGTTGATGGCTAGAATCTGCTAAGGGACAGAGGAGCTCTTGGCTTTCCTCTCCTGCAGACAAGGATGGTAGGAAGGACATCTTTCTTATTCTACCCACAGCATGGTCCCTCTACATCAAACGTCATTAGGCCTAAATGGATGTGTACACATACAAGTTAACCCCAATATTATGTTGAGTAGATAGGGATAGTGCCCCTTTTCAATTCTAAAGAATACAGTATACAAGAAAAATCTCAGTACTAGTTCCAGCTATGTTGCTGAACGTAAGGGGAAAAAAAAAAGATCATCTCACAAATTCTACTGTGTCACACACTCTTTTTCTCTCTCTCCTAGCTGTTTTCTTAACTTAAAAATGGGATAGGGCTTCCCTGGTGGCGCAGTGGTTGAGAGTCCGCCTGCCAATGCAGGGGACACGGGTTCGTGCCCCGGTCCGGGAAGATCCCACACGCTGTGGAGCAGCTGGGCCCGCGAGCCATGGCCACTGAGCCTGCGCATCCGGAGCCTGTGCTCCGCAAAGGGAGAGGCCACAACAGTGAGAGACCCGCGTACCGCAAAAACAAAAACAAAAAAAACCGGGATAACATCTGTCCTATTTAGGACACGGAATTGTTAATAAGATCAAACATGATAACCTGTGAAAGCACTTTAACTTTTCAAAGTACTACATAAGTGTGAGGTGGTGCTAACAGGATATTATTAACCTCATGATCAAACAGACCTGTTTGGATTTCCCTCTATTCGCCAACTCGAGCAGGGGTGAAGTGAGTGGGGTACGTGACACTGGTTAGCTATTATTTGGGGACCACAGCTTCCCATTCACCTGGGCAATGGCATTCACTATGGCTGACGCTGAAACAAACAGCAGATGTGAAGCTGGAAATGTCCCAGAAGATCAGTGTATAAGTCATGACTGCAGCTACTGTGTCCCTGTCACAAACAATCCTTCTGCTCAAATAGTATAACAGAGAGAGGAGAGTTTGCTCTGCTCCAGTGCTCCCATGGGAGTTTTCAGTGCTGTTCCCCAGCTATTTCCAGCTCTCCATTTCTCAACTCTGCCCTTTGAGATCAGGTGTGACCACATGACAGTTTAGCCAGGAGAATGTCAGTGGAAGTGACGTGATGACTTTTTTTTTTTTTTTGCAGAAACAAGGGAACTGTTTTAATAATGATGTTTATATTAGTAATAGGCACATTCCAGAAATAAAGAAAAATCCTCTTGCTGGGATTGTATTGGAACGAATGCTTTTCAGGGAAATTCTTTTAGGAAGTTGAGCACACTGTCATTTCATACCCTAAAGATCTTTAGATATTTAGGAGTTGCTGATAGACGTGATGACTTTTGAGATAGAAGAGCCAGTGAATGACTGGCTATGTTGCCTTTCCAGGCTGCAGAGATCGTGGAGATCTATGTCAAGATGAAGCCTCCCACACCCAGGCTCTGAGCACCTGTGGTCAGCAGAGGCCCCTGTGTAGCAGGAGTGAAAAATAAACTTTTGCTTTGTTAGGCCACTGAGATTGGGTGGGAAGGGTTGAGGGGGTTGTTATCAGTGTACATACCTTAGTCCTGCCTGACTAGTAATACACTGATGAGAAGATCTCATAACATGAATAAAATGAATGCAAATTAACTGAGCCCCATTTTTCTGTGCTGTTTGCTGATGGGTGGAAAAATATGAGTAGACCAAACCTACTCCTTAAGAGAGACATATACAGCACAAATCTTACCGGTTCTAAGAAAAAGTTCCCCGATTCATTCCAGTGAATACATTTATATACCCCTCCCATTCGAAATGTAACATATTGAATCCACTTGTTTTTTAAAAGAGTTATCTCAGTATAATTCTTCCCCCCTCCAAAGTATTATAATAATAAGCAGAAAATATCAAATGTCACTCAATTCATAGCAGAGATAAATTTCCCTCCCACCCTACGTGGGGAAAACTGTTTAGAACTGTGTAGGTAAAACAAAAAGATCCCCCCAAAAGTCTTCTACGAGGTGACCGTGACATTCAAAAGAAATGAAGGTTCAGGCTGATGTCTTCATTTGCAGCTAGAACCCTGCACCGACACTGGGGGGAGCACTGGCGCAGAGGCCTTGTTCTGCACTGACTTCCCTTCCACCTCCACCGATCTGAGCCCTGGCAGGGAGCAGAGAGCCCACAGGCCTGACAGAGCAGTCCTACCAATTGGGCCCCAGTACAGCTCAGATTTCCAGTGTGATAAATGGCTCTTTTCAGTGTCCTTCCCCCGTGACAGGAGAGGCACTGCCAAATGGAAACCCCCCAGGGGGAGTGTTCCAACTGTGGTTCTGTCTGAGGGGAACCAGTGAGGAGACTGGAGGTCCCCAGGCAGATGAATGCTTGGAGACGTATTTCCAAATTGGGCTGGAGGGGGTGGGGAGGTTCCTGGCTGATTGGCAAAATAGCTGTGTGAAAACAGGGAGGCTGTCAACATTATGGGAGAAAAGCTATAATAACCCCTGTAACCTGGTTTGCAGCTCTCCTTCCAAACACAAGCAGCCTCAATTAATTGGTGCTGAGTGACCGAGAGAGGCTTGTGACCCTGTTCTCAGCTCTGACTCTAATAAACTGTGTGACCTGGTCCAAGCCACCCCTGGGCCTCCATCACCTCAGCAGGGAACAGGTACATCTAAGAAACGCATCCAGCAACTAGGTAGTCTCTACTTTTAGAGCAAAGCTCAAAACTGTATCTTTCCATAGCGGTGGGGGCTGAATGGAGTCATTTCTCAGGAAATCATATCGGCCAGTGAGGCTCTGTTGGCAAGTTCTCTTGTATGGAGCTGGTGTTCTTTGGTATCACATATGGAGTTTCAGTGAGCAAGGTTTGTGTCAGCACAGTTTCTCTCTAGAATCAGGGGAGACTGCTGGGCCATGTCAGCACCACCTCAAGGGTTTAGGTAAATTCTGGGCTAGACCAGTAGCATCTGATTTATTTTGAGATTTCCCACAGCCATCCAAAGCCTATTCTAGAATGAATTCAAGTCCTCTTACAGGACTTAGCCTCATTTTTTTGGAGGAAAATTAAAAAAAACCATTCTGGAAGCCTAATGATTATCAGGAATAAAATGTGTGTGTGTGTATGCGCATGCATGCTGTGTGTACACTCATGTGTGCAGGGTACCATGTGTGCCCACAGTATTGTCACTTGAGCGAGTGGTGGGCTGAGGGAGGTGGGCTTGGAGGATGGGAGCGTGCAGCAAAGCAGGAGCAACAAATAAGGCAGCGTGTCCTGATTTTCCCAACGACACAGAGTGATGGCAAAGCCTACCAGCGCTGAGGGGGCCTCTAGGGTTAGGAGGTGGATGGCCTGTTGAATTCCTCTGCTTATTTTCAGAGATATCCCAGGGAAGCTTTTCTCCGGCCCCTCGGGTACATACAGATATCCTCCGGAAGGACTTGAACTCCAGGTAGGTAAGGTGCTCGGAGAGCTCTTCTGGTTCCAGATGGTCAAAGAGCAGGGAGACTTTTCGTTTCTTGCTGGTGTTCGATTTTATCCTTTGAGTCAGTTTCCTGGACCAGTCACGGGCATTTCTTTTGTGGGTAAAAATGAAAGGGAGAAGACAGGGAAAAAGAATAAATCAAAATTGCTTTTTAATGCAAATAAATCCATTAACACTTCCCACAAGACTATGCAAAGCACCGTTACCTAACTTTCCTTGGTCAAAGCAATGCATTAACAGTTTCCCCACATCAGTTTTTCCTATGGTGGCGACTAGGAAGCTTTGATGGTTTTCCTTGAGCCTTCTGAACGTGCCACGGGAACTGGGTAAAATGCATTTGTCTTAAGTCTGTGGGAAGGACAGAGTCTTGGGCATTGTTCACAGTGTCCTGGCTCCTCTGTGTAGCCCTGGCAGGTCTGCTCTCTCCATGCCTTCTGTGTGTTTCCTCATCTCATGAGGGTGATGGGGACTCTATGTGGTTGGAAATCTCAAGGTAGTGGGGCAGTTTTCATGCCAGAAAAGCACAGAGAACCACAGAGAGGAGATGCCATGCTGGGTAATCATGTGTAGGAACAGGTGGTCATTCTGGGCAGACTTGTGGCATTTTCCTCAAATGTCCCCAGCCACTGAAATGACCAAGGAAGTCTAGCTAACCCTAGAGCTAGCCCCCCACACATTTTCTTGTAATCAATCCACATGTTTCTTATTCAGTTTCAATTTCCTACACTAAGGAAGCAAAGAGAAAGGTAGCAGGTTGCAGATCTGTGTTTCCCAAACCTGTATTCCTGAGAACCTTGTCTCTTGACAAAAGGGTTCTGTGGTCAAATGAGTTTGGGAAATGCTACAAATTCAGCCAAAGAGCATATTACACACTCTGAGATGCATTGCAAAAAGGAAGTTCGACTCTCTCTTTCTCAAGTATATCTGGTAGGGCAATATCCCACTGACTAATTCCTAAAGAATATACCGTGGAAAATATCGGTAGAGGAAAGTCAGCTAGGGGTGTATTGGGATAAGGAAATCAGGGTTTGAGAACTGCCCTGGGCCCTGTGTGCTGCATTTGAAAAATGAAGACACTGTTACTGCAAAACCTTCTTTTACCTCTCAAGTTATTATAATTCTAAGCAAAGAAGTACAGAGAGTCCAACCCGCTATGTAGATTTAATTGGGACTCTGACATGTGATTTGGAAATCATTTCCACACGGCCACGGCACAGGGCACTGAGGGCTCTCACAGTCCAGATTCTGCTCTGCCATTAACTCAGCTAGCTGTGTGACCCCAGACAAGCAAGCCTCGCTGAGCCTGTTTCCCAGGACGTTGGATAAAATCATCTTGCAAATATGTTTCAGTCCTAGAATTCTATGTCCTAGGGATCTGTATTATTCCAAAACAAAGGGGCCACATTGTGAAAACCTTAGCATGTGATGAGTGTACTCTCCTCTCCCCAGATTAGGACAGGCATTCATTTTTCCAGAGTGGGGCCATCTCATAAATAAGAAATCCAAGGAATAATATGCAGGATTCCTGAGATCCTTTCCATCTCTGCATAGGTCTAAGTGTCTCTTGCAGAACTTCTTGGCCTACCGAATATGTTATAAACCCTTTGCTCGATCCATTTTCCAGCAGTCCCTTCCCCGTTTATAAGCGCAGGGGCCCTCCAGGCGTTAGCTGCTGAAGAGGCACCAATTTAGTCACCACACTTTCAGTGTATTGAGATTTATATAAATTTTAGTCAATATCTGGCTTCCTGATTTCTTTTTCACTGAGACTTCTTTTTTCCTGCTCTTGGATATTAGTCACGTACACCGTTATCACCAGGGGGCTTCTCTGCTTTCCTGCTACATGTCAAGCTTTTCTCTTTCATGAGGCCATCTGAACCTGCCTGAGGGCTTCTTGGGGTGGGTAGAGCAGACGTCACAGCGGGACGCAGAGCCTTGCTGAGCGGCCTGGGTTGTATTACAGGAGGGAGGTGGTTTCGAAAGAGGCGTCAAAACCACGACACTCACATTTGAGTTGTGTCAATCAGGCGGCAGTGCAGCTCCTCGCCGTTAGCTTTCACCAGTTCCTGAAACTCTTCCATAGTGCTTGCCAGGCTGGCATCTATTTTAAACATGATCCAGAATTCTGTTATCCAATACCTACATGGTGGGATTTAAAAAACACAAGCCAAACCTGAAGCCAAGGACTCACACTGTGGTGGGTTCTTCCCGCAAAAAGGATTCAGAAAGAGACAGGGGCTGGTTTGTTCTATATTCCTGGGAATATAGAATCTATATTCTCTACACAGAATATAAGGAACTGGAGTAGGGGTGGGGGGAAGAGAAGAAAACCACCCACTGACAATCCTCTGTGCCCCACATATTAAATGCTATGCTATGATAAGATGAATCATAATGAAGGAAGCCACTGCAAAGATTTAGGCACAACCATGTGTATCAGAGAGAATGATAAATAAGACAATGGCAGACAAACCAAACGTCCAAAGATTGGACAATGCATCTGTAAATTACACTTTATTATACCTCAGGATATTACATGGCCATTAAAAATAATGTTTACAAAAAGTTTTTAATGACTAGAGAAGATTCCTATGATTTAAAATTAAGTGAAAACTATAGGATACAAAATTTTGTATGTATTTTGATCTCTACTATGTTAAAAAACCTACTTGGAAAGAGACAAGGGAAATATACCAAAATAGGTAGTTGGATATAAGTGATTATTACTATAGTTATATTCTCCTCTATATTTTCAAAGTGCTCTAATATGAGCTACATTACTTTTATACTTGGGAATAAAAACAAACAAAATAACCTTTCCCTTATGTCACTTGATACCAAAATGCTGTAAGGTTGACAAAAACATTGGTATAAAATATTAAGCTCAGGCACATCAGAAAAAACCGACTATGCTCTTTGAGGAATTTCCAGTACTAACAATTGCCCTTTCTGGTCTGTCCAGAGGTGTTGTATAGATGGTCAGGAAGGGAAAGGCAGGGAGGACAAGGAAAGAGCTAGAGTCTCTGGCTCTTTCATTTCACCCCACTCCACAAAGTCCCAAATGCATGCAGAAATGTTACCTTACAAAATAGCAGATCTTCAGGCAAAGCCCTGGTGAATTCTTTGCCAAGGCATCCTTATAGGTATGGCTGTGGTTAAGGGAAATGGAAGCCTCTGTTATAGAAACCAAACAACCTTTCATCTTTGCAAGTATTGCTAAAACTACCCTCCCTCCAGCCCCACAAATAGTTTCTTTTAATGTTTCTTCTCTCCCTGGCCATAGGATAAAACCAACTCAATGTGTGCAGCTGTATGCTTATGAAGGGCAAAGATGGTGACTTTAGCCCATGCTGAAGTCGCTTATGGAAGAAGGCCACAGCATCTCCTCTGCAGAAGTAGGAAGTCAACAGCACAGCAATGTCCCTGCACAGGTGACCTGTAAGAAGTAAAGAAGGGGCAAGTGACCTCTGCCCATGCCCAAGACTAGGAGTCTGCTGGAGACAAGCTAAAAAGAAGAGCTTGTTCTTATCTTTTCAGCAGCTGATAAAAAATCTGTGCATTGAATTAGAAGAAAGGGAAGGAATAAATATTCAGATATATTGTAATGATAATCAAGGCAATAATAGGAAAATGATAATACATGCCTAGAAAATGTCAGTAGATTGATCTTACAGGTTGTAATAGCAAGTCAGAAAAAGCCATGTGAATGATCCAAATACAACTGGAGAGCACATTAAGGATCAATACCATTTGGAATATTCCACGAGAATGATGCCATTCTAAGAACAAGAAAGAACAGCAAAGTTCCACCAAGTTCATGCATCTCTAGAGATACATGGAAAGAATAAGTGTTTACTGTAAAGGTCATAGAGATGCAAAATCCAATCCAGTGATGAACCTGGGTGGTCCTACCCTCTTCCATCAACATACTGAGGAATCAGGCTATGTGGGCTGTGTGCCCCGCAAGACACTGCCCTCTTTCTCCTCTAAAAACCATGTCAAATTAACCACAATCCAGGGCTCCGTGAATTTCAGCAGGGCCCCTGAGAGGAATCCACTGAGCAGCCAGCAGATGTCTCAATTAACTGGGGCTGTGCAGTCTTCTTTCAGTGGCTATGCATATTTTAACCCTTGGAAAACTCAGACTTAAATATAGCAAAGTAAAAAACAGGCCAAATCATATTACTGATTTTTTTTATTAGGAAGGGATCTCTGCCTTTTGAAATCTTATATACCTGTAATGTTTAAGAGCATATTAGAACGAGAGTCTTGAAACTTCAATCTGGAATATACAATTAAGGGATTTACACTTGTGATTTTAAATTCAAATCTTACTATGTTTATGCATAGCTTTGGAACATCTAAGGTAATGTTAGCTTTACTGTTTATAATTTTAATTTACTGAAGTTATAAAAACTATTTCGAATTCAGAAAAGCCTCTGAAGTATTTAAAAAATCTAAGATTTAAAATTACAAGTACATACCTGTCAATAATTACTTTAAATGTAAATGGACTAAATGCTTCAGTCAAAAGACATGGAGTGGCTGAATGGATACAAAACCAAGATCCATATGTATGCTGCCTACAAGAGATGCACTTCAGATCTAAATAGTTAGACTCTTCAAGAAAAAAAATGGGAGGGCCCAAATCAATAAAATCAGAAATAAAAAAGAAGTTACAATCAATACCACAGAAATATAAAAGAACGTAAGAGATTACTACAACCAGTTACATGCCAATAAAATGGACAACCTAGAAGAAAGGTACAAATTCCTAGACATGTACAATCTTCCAAGACTGAGCCGGGAAGAAATAGAAAATATGAGCAGACCAATTACCAATAATGAAATTGAATCAGTAATTAAAAAAACCAAAACAAAAACAAACTCGCAGCAAACAAAAGTCCAGGATCAGATGGCTTCACAGGTGAATTCTACCAAACATTTAGAAAAGAGTAAACACCTATCAAACTATTCCAAAAAACTGCAGAAGAAGGACCACTTCCTAACTCATTCTACGAGGCCAGCATCACCCTGATACTAAAACCAGTCAAAGATATCACAAAAAAAGAAAATTACAGGCTAATATCAGTGATAAAAATATGATGAACATAGATTCAAAAATTCTCAACAAAATATTAGCAAACCAAATACAACAATATATTAAAAGAATTATACACCATGATCAAGTGGAATTCATCCAATGAATGCAAGGATAGTTCAATATCCACAAATCAGTCAGTGGGATATACCTCATTGACAAATTGAAGAATATATAAATAAAGAATAAAAATCATATGATCATCTCAATAGATACAGAAAAGGATTTGAGAAAATTCAACAATTTATGATTAAAAAAAACTTTCCATGAAGATGTATAGAGGGAACATACCTCAACATAGTAAATGCCATATATTATAAGCCCACAGCTAACATCATACTCAATGGTGAAAACTGAAAGAATTTCTTCTACAATCAGGAACAAGACAAGGATGCCCACTCTCACCACTTTTATTCCTAGCCAGAGCAATCAGACAAGAAAAAGAAATGAATCCAAATTGGAGAGGAAGAAGTAAAACTGTTACTGTTTGAAGATGACATGATACTATACATAGAAAATCCTAAATATACCACCAAAATACTACCAGAGTTCATCAAAATTCAGTAAAGTTGCAGGGTACAAAATTAATATATAAAAATCTGTTGCATTTCTATATACTAACAAGGAACTATCAGAAAGAGAAATTAAGAAAATAATCCCATTTAAATCACATCGAAAAGGATAGAATATCCAGGAATAAATCCAACTATGTAAGTAAAAGACCCACAGTCAGAAAACTTTTAAGACACTGATGAAAAAAATTGAAGATGACAGAACAGATGGAAGGATATACCATATTCATGGATTAGAAGAATATTGTTAAAATGACCATACTACCCAAGGCAACCTGCCGATTCAATGCAATTCTATCAAAACACCAATGGCACTTTTCACAGAACTAAAACAAATAATTCTAAAATTCTATGGAAACAAAAGTCCCCAAATAGCAAAACAATCTTGAGAAAGAAGAACAGAGCTGGAGGTATCACACTCCCGGACTTCAGACTATACTACAAAGCTACAGTCATCAAAACTGTATGGTACCGGCACAAAAACAAACAAGTAGATCAATGGAACAAAATAAAGAGCCCAGAAATTAACCCACACACTTGTGGTTAACTAATCTAAAACAAAGGAGGCAAGAACATACAATGGAGAAAAGACAGTCTCTTAAATAAATGGTATTGTGGAAATTGGACAGTTACATGCAAAAGAATCAAACTGGACTATTCTGGACACTATGCAAACTGGACACTATGCACAAAAATGAATTCAAAACTGATTACGAACTGAAATGTAAGACCTGAGCTGCCTGGAAGCAGAGAGGCAGCATATCCAAAGGGCTGCCTCCATAGTGTGGAGTTCAGGAGTTTGGAGAGCCCTTTGGGGGGTCCCAGTTTTACCTAAGAGATGTCAACTTGAGAGTGTGCTGAACTTCACCTTATGCTCCCATATCACGTGTAGTCATCAAAGTGTTTTCTCTGCGGTTTGGCAGACATTCTCAGAGGGGAATAAGGAAGATGGTGGAAGAGTAAGAGGCAGAGATCACCTTCCTCCCCACAGATACACCAGAAATATATCTACACGTGGAACAACTCCTACAGAAAACCTACTGAACGCTGGCAGAAGACACCAGACCTCCCAAAAGGCAAGAAACTCCAGACATACCTGGGTAGGGCAAAAGAAAAAAGAATAAACAGAGACAAAAGAATAGGGATGGGACCTGCACCTCTGGAAGGGAGCTGTGAAGGAGGAAAGGTTTCCACACACTAGGAAGCCCCTTTGCAGGCGGAGACTGCAGGTGGCGGAGGGGAAAAGCTTCAGAGCCGCGGAGGAGAGCACAGCAACAGGGGTGCGGAGGGCAAAGCGGTGACATTCCGTCACAGAGGATCGGTGCCCACTGGCACTCACCAGCCCGAGAGGCTTGGCTGCTCACCCGCCGGGGCGGGCGGCGCTGGGAGTTGAGGCTCGGGCTTCGGTCAGAGCACAGGGAGAGGACTGGGGTTGGCGGCGTGAACACAGCCTGCAGGGGGTTAGTGCACCACGGCTAGCCGAGAGGGAGTCTGGGGAAAAGTATGGACCTGCCGAAGAGGCAAGAGACTTTTTCTTCTCTCTTTGTTTCCTGGTGCGTGAGGAGAGGGGATTAAGAGCTCTGCTTAAAGGAGCTCCAGAGACAGGCGTGAGCTGCAGCTAACAGTGCGGACCCCAGAGACAGGCATGGGATGCTAAGGCTGCTGCTGCCGCCACCAAGAAGCCTGTGTGCGAGCACAGGTCACTATCCACACCTGCCCTCCCGGGAGCCTGTGCAGCCCGTCACTGCCAGGGTCCCGGGATCCAGGGACAACTTCCCTGGCAGAACGCGTGGCATGCCTCAGGGTGGTGCAATGTCCTGCCGGCCTCTGCCACCGCAGGCTCTTCCCGCATCCATACCCCTCCCTCCCCCTGGCCTGAGTGAGCCAGAGCCCCTGAAGCAGCTGCTCCTTTAACCCTGTCCTGTCTGAGCGAAAAACAGACGCCCTCCAGTGACCTACACGCAGAGGCAGGGCCAAATCCAAAGCTGAGCCGTGGGAGCTGTGCGAACAAAGAAGAGAAAGGGAAATCTCTCCCAGCAGCCTCAGAAGCAGCGGATTAAAGCTCCACAATCAACTCGATGTACCCTGCATCTGTGGAATACATGAATAGACAACGAATCATCCCAAATTGAGGAGGTGGACTTTAAGAGCAAGGTTTATGATTTTTTTTCCCCTTTTCCTCTTTGTGAGTGTGTATGTGTATGCTTCTGTGAGAGATTTTGTCTGTATAGCTTTGCTTTCACCATTTGTCCTAGGGTTCTATCAGTCCGTTTTTTTTCTTTTTTTAAAAAAATTTAATTATTTTTTATTTTAATTATTTTATTTTATCCCCTTCCCCCCTTCCTTCCTCCCTCCCTCTCTATTTTTCTTTCTTCCTTCCTTCCTTCCTTCCTCTTCCTTTCTTTCTACTTTTTCTCCCTTTTATTCTGAGCCGTGTGGATGAAAGGCTCTTGGTGCTGCAGCCAGGAGT